ATACCTCAAATAAATTTCTTTAATTATTTCTTCATTGGCCACCTCTTCAAATATATTGATCTCATTTAATCAAAATTTTCAATTTATGACATTAATTCGTAAAATAATATTTAATATGTTTATTGCCTGCGTTAATTCTAACTTAAAATTAACCCATACCTCCTTCACTACATCCAAACTCCTCGATATCTTACCATATTCATTGGTTGGGATCCACTAGAGTGTTAACAAACTTAAATCTATCAATATTTCCTTTAGCATATCAAGAATGTATTTACTATGTGATTTAATGATGTTTTTCTTGGACCTTTTTACCTGCATACCTAAATATATCTCATGGTTCCAAGGTCCTTAATTTCAAACTTTGTGGTAAGTAGTTTGATCATGAGAATCTTTTCATCATCACCCGTAAGAATTATATCATCCACATATACTATCAGTGCAGCAATATTACTTTCCTGAGTGTTTTCTATAAACAAAGTATGATCAACATGAATTTGAGAATAACTATTAGATTTTATGCTCTTGGTGATTGTTTAAGCCCATAGAAAGGCTTCCTAAGTTTGCATATTCATATACACTTCATTCAGATACCCATTTAAGAAAACATTTTTTAATATCAAGTTGATGCAGACCCCATTCCTTGTTAACTGCTAGTGAAAGAACTTTGATAGCGTTAGGTTTAACAACTAGTGCAAAGGTCTCCTGATAGTCGATATCATAAACTTGACTGAAACCTTTTGCTACATGTCTGACTTTGAATCTCTCAATATCTTCATCAACTTCGTATTTGATATTAAACACCCATCTGCACCCAACTGGCTTCTTATCCTGAGAGAGTTTAGAAAGAATTCTTGTACCATTAAGCTTTATGCTCAAATCACTTCTTCGACTATTTTTCTTCATTCTGGATTTTTGAGAGATTTATGAGAAGGTATAGGAATCTATATATTATCAAAGTTAGAAACAAAAGCTTTTTAGAATGAGGATAACTTCTCAAAAGCTACATACTCATAAATTTAATATCTAATATAGTTTTCCCTGCCACCAGCATCTGAAGAGGACAGTGATAACTAATGAGTGCTAGATTATTCCTTACCGGAAATTTCAGGTGAATGTGGACTCGGGTTTTTGTTTGAGTAGTTCTGTCCTTACGAGTTGCCTTCCACCTGCTCCAAACTTTTCTTCCTCCTTCTATACACACAAAGCACTTTGTTCTAGATTTTAGGTTTGGTTGATTGTGTTAGTTGGGCATCCTCAACCAAGATAAGAGAGTTAGGTGGAGTAGGTGGTGAAGTCGTATAGGTATCATCAAATACATCCCAAAATTGATGTTCATTTGCACTTTCCCTCAAAAAATTAGATTTGGGGCAGTAGGATTGATTTTCAAAAATGTGGCATCCATAGAGTTAGTAATATTTTCTGGTAATAGAAGAGTAACATTTATACTTAATATATCTAAGGGCCACTTTTGTGCAATTTTGGGAATGAATGTGAATCAAGGATACACATCCAAAGATTTTAAGCGATATAGCAGAAGAGAACTGATGTGAAGATAGATAACAATCAAAACATGATGAGACATTCGATTGATAAGGTATGTACCCGGCTAGACATTTGATTGATAAGGTATGTTGACAAATGCTCCCCATAAAAAAATTTTGAAACTTGATGAGACATCATAATTGAGTGAAATACTTCAAGGAGATGCATGTTCTTTCTCTAAGCTATCTCATTTTGTTGTAGGGTATCAATACATGAACTCACATGAATGATTCTATTTTTTTGAAAGGTAGAACCCAATGATGAAATTGAATTATTATTTTCGATCATCAAGTCTGCGGATTTGAATTTTGAATTAAAATTGAATTTGAATTATATTATGGAAGGTTTGAAAGATTTAAGTTATTTAAATTTCTCTTTCATTAAGAATACCTGTAATTCTAGTGTGATTGTCAAAAAATGAAATAGATCTTCTAGCCTCACTTAAGATTTTTATCTTTGAAGACCCCCAAATATCACTGTGGATAAAAAAAATGAGTGTGAGGGTTTATACAACGTCATGAGATAATTATCTTTAGTGTGTTTAGCAAATTAACAAATCTCACATTAATAAGAACTAAGTTTTCATGGATAAACAAATGAGATAAAAACTTTAAACATAATTGAATTAGAATGACCAAGTGATAATGTCATAATATAACCTATTTTTCGACAGATATAGACTCGACAGACTCATAAATTTGAGATGAAAATAGATGTGAAATAATTTTTGTGTTTAGATAGATTTTCTTTGAGTATGTATAAGCCTTGATGCATTTATCAACACTGTCAATCACCTTCCCCCGACTCCACCACATGAAATTCAAAAAAGTGTTCAAAAAACTATACATTTCATATCACGAGTAAGCTTACTCATTGAAATCAAATTATTGTCCAACTGTGAAACATATAAAACAAAGGAAAGAGTAAAATCCTAAGAGAGTTTTACATCACCTTTTTCAGCAATTTTTTAGTGTGATTAATCTGTAAGTTTGACTGATCTAGATATAGAAGACTCTTGATAATTGACTAGAGTATTGATATCTCCGATCACATGATCAAAAGCTTCTGAATCTATGGCCCAAGTTCTAAATCTCCCATTACTGGCAAGATGAGATAACAATATATAACATTGTTGTGTCACGAGGTTGGTGGGTTGTTTGGAATTACCTCTAAGAAGTTCTTTCAATACTTCCTATTATTCCTTGGTGAAGGGTTCAATATTAATCTCCAAAGTAAAACTTGGCATCTTCATTCCATACTTAGTCATAACGCATACGTGTATTTGGGGCTGCTACTAATTGGAGGAAGTTGACTGATGTTGCTGCTGGAGAAGATGAGGCACGTATGATTGTCAAGAAAGTTGGAGACTGGCTGCAGAGTGCTTACAGGCTGTTGGCTGCAGTGAAAAGACCAGATGGAGGACTTACAGGGAAACAGGTGGCTGTAGGGAGAATTCCAGTCCTGGTGGCTGCATGGAGAACCTCCAGCCGAGGTCCTGCAGGAAGACAACGGAGAAAGACAGTGGAGAAAGGAAAGGAAGATAGTGGCTGCATTGGTGGAAGAGAATGGAGAAAGAATAGCTTGCACGGGACACCTGCAGTGAGTCGACAAGCAAGCAAGCAGCTGTAGGGAGAAATTTGGTATGGAGAGGGAGCAGAAGCTGGTGCGAGGGAGGGCCAGCAAGCTGACTGACGGCTGCAAGGAGAACTCTGGTGCTGGACAACTGTTGGAGGAAATTTCCTAAGTTGGTTCAGCAGCGGGAAGAAGGTCCGACTGCAGGACGGAACTCTGACTCTGGCAAGGAGATTCGACAGCTGGATGAAAACCTATAGGAAAGCGTACAGAGAAGAAGAGCAGAGAAAGGAGGCTGCAGATAATGGTTCACACTTTGGAGCGTTTGGGAGAACGGAAGAATTCTTGCGGCTCCTATTTTTGCACAGGAAGGAGTTTCATGTGGCTGTGTAAGATGCCAATTGCGGCTGCTGCAAAGGACTGCCTATGGGGAAGAGTTCTGGCTACTACAGGGAAGAGTTCCAGCTGGTGCAGGGAAGGGCTGGAGTTCCAGCTGCCGAGTAAGGCCTACATGGAAGCATCGGTTGCAGAGAAAAGCACTACTGGCTACAAGTTGGCAGAGAAGATTTTCAGTCTGCATGAAGGATTTCTAACGGAAGAGGAGATTTCTGGCGGTAGGGAAAAAACAAGGGTCTCTTGCTTGCTCCTTCCCTATTGGAGTCCTGAGGGAGGGAGTTTACTGTCGATGGAGGAGACCCGCATCTACTCTCGGCTGATGATTTCCACTAGAAAAAGAAATTCAACCAACCAGCTTGGATTTCCCCCAGAGAGAAACAACTTGTGGATTGAATCTAGTTGGCTAAGTTGCAGTCCTCGGCTTTTCACACGGCTTAGAGTTAGTGAACTTAGTTCTAGGTCGGGGGCTTTGAAGGAGAGAAAAACCGATAGCAATGAGTAGTGTGTAGCTTCTCCGTCTAACATCATTTGGAATTTGCACTAGAGATAAAATCGCAAAGCCTGAAAACCCGTCGGAAATGAGAACTCGTCGATTGTCTTTGTTTGCACCAATCCAACGTGACAGGATTAGCAGCTTCCACTTCGTCTGCACCAATCGAGGTCTTCAGTTGTAGGGTCTTACGGCTCTGGAAAGTAGCAGAGGAGGGCCTACAAGACGGCAGAAGGAATTTCAGCGGCTGCAGGGAGAATTCCGGCCATATGGAAGGGCTCGGACAGTTGAAGGAGAGCTAAGGTTTCTTTCCAAGCTCTGAGACCATGTAGAGAACTGATTTGGAGAGGAATAATTTCTCTTAATTGTATTATTCAGATATACGGTATATATATATAGGAAAAATAATCTCTCCTAATTTATAATCTTACCAAATATATCTAACCAAAACTAGGAAATAAAATAATTCTAAACTAAAAATAAAATAACATAGAATATGAAGGGAATAAACTAGTTAAAAGTTATCTAATTTGTCTCGTCAAATCCTCCACAACATCTTCTCAGATTTCCACACTATGCAAATCCTCTAAAAATAAAGCATCACATGCCCATTCATTCAATCAATCCAAATCTAACCATATTATATGCTACATTTTAAACAAACAAAATAATAAAAAGGCAACTTAATGCAACCCACAACTACTTCACAAACCAAAATTTATGTTATGACCGTACCAAGAGCATCACAAAAATTACCCATCAGCATTTTGATTAATGATGTCCATTTGGAAATGGATTTTATCAATTTAACTAATAATGTGTAAAAAACACAAGTCATCAGAATTATACTGAATAATCCTTCTTTCAAAATGAATGGCTAAGATGAAAGGCATGAATAATGAGTCCACAGATGAATTGTCCCACTAAAAATAAAAATAAAAATCTAATTTGAATTATCATTTCACATGGGAAACCAATGTAAGCTGAAGAAGGCTACCTTCAAAGAGTTTTCAAGCTTGTCAAGAAGGAGCATAATTTTGTGGACTTCATTTTCCGCATGTAGTCCAGGATCCTTTGAGGCGGCAGCTTCGAACCCATGAAGAGCTCGTTCATAGTTCTCTAGGTACTTATTGGCCTACGTCAGAAAAAAAAATTGTCGGACCAATAATGATGGGTCAGCAGGAGCGTCAAAAATGTGAGACTCACCATCGCACAGTTAAAGTAGAGGTCAGGATTAAGTTTCATTAGTTCGTCTTTTTCCTGATACAACAATTTCAACATAAGATCCGATGCACTTGAAAAAGCCGTGAAATATAACGGGTACACTTACATTTAAAGGGATATAGCAGGATATTAAAAAAAAGTATAAAAAAACTAATCAACATACAGCATCATTAGACTCATTCCAATTAACTAATTCAGATATCGTTAAACATATAAGAGAGTCAACATTTGATGCTAGTTTAGGAAACAAATGGTGCTGTTCTCAAGCTGTTCCTTGAGAACAGAAAGCAGGTTAAAAGGCTATATTGATTTAAGAAATCCAATGAGCTCTGTTCTTACTGCATTTTTGTATGCTTTCAGAGATTGCTTTAATTTGGTATGATCCCATGCTCCAGTCACGAAGAAACTTGTAAGGTATGCATTTCCTAGATTGTCTGTAAAAATCATGCAATGAGCTACAATAAAAACCTAGAGCTTGGTGTATCAGATTAAATTAACCAGTAAACAAGAAGGACAGGGGCTTTAGCAAGCATTAAAGGAAAATAATCAATTGATGTGAAAAACCAATAACGTCAGATTGATAGGTCTTATGTTTGCTCTGAAATGCACCAAGGAATAAAGCATAAAAGAAGACAGCAATTAGAAATCACACATAGCTGGTTTAGATCGAGATAACCATGTATTTGTGAGAATAAATGTTCCCAAAACACAAATGTAAAGAGAAGACAGGATACCGATGTTAAAAATGAACCAAAATGTGTGGAAGGATTCAAGGTCTGCTAAGTATAGATATTCAATTAAATTTAGCAGAAATAGAACAACTAAGATTAATATGAAAAAAATGATTATAATAAAGAAAAACATTAGCATCTTATCTAGTGACAGGCTGGAATCTTTCAGAATTAGTAAATGAAATTAGTTTAAATGGTATGAGCAAAAAAAAAAAATCACTAAGGAAAGTTGGTGACTGAAAGGCGAGAGAGGAGCCGAAAGCCATATAAAGTTTAATCAAAGAGATTTACTATAGCAGAAGTAAATTCTATCGATAAAAAGACAAAAATAAATTAAAGATATTCTGCATGGGTGCAATAGAGGAGCTTAAAGTGCCAATCACCACAACGATATTTACTTCTACTAAAGAGAATGATCACCACTAGTGTCATGCTAATAATTAAGTTTTTTTTTTAAAAAAAAGGAGAAATGGATAGAAATCGGTATGGGCCTTTCCCTTTTTTTAAGGAAGCCAGCCATAAATAAGTTTTGTAAAAAATTCAACCGTTTGCAGCAAGTTTCAATGAAAGTTAGCTAGGATCAACTTGAGCAAAACAAAACAACAACAAAACTTCTTTCAAGAAGTTAAGAAAAATTATTCAGCTTGATATAAGAAATTAGTAGATCTTATAAGCTTAATAAATATTATTAAAAAAAACACAAAAAAGGTTATTCCATGGGCCAAATAATAATTCTAATAGTAATAATTTTTTAAAACCTTTATAATGTAATAAAATTATAACTATCAAAGATTTTATCAATTACATTATAATAATCATTCTTTAATGTAAAGCATTAATAATATACAAATGGCTAATTTTAAAGTCACATTATATAATACTTACATAGAACTAATATAAATGAGCAATACTGTATAAAATTATAAATATAAGGATTAGTAAAAAATACACTTAGTAGTTATATAATATTTTATGTTTTAGAATATAGTTTATATAAATAAAAATTTACGTAATAAATTTTAAGGCTTTGCAAATGATGTGATTTGAAACAATGATGCTGCCTCATCTTATCATGTTATTTCTGTAAAGTGGAGAGACAATGGCAGGCTTGTTTGCAACAGGCTAAAGAAAAAAAAATTTAATGCGCAAAAACCATAAATCAGTTGTTTTGAAATTCTTGGATTTACTATGAAGATTTTTTAATCTGTCCTTAACTCTATCTAAATTATCAAATCCTACTTCAAACTAGACTAACCTGAAACAACCTAGGTCAGGCCTTCTCTCTCTTATGAGCATGTAGAAGATGCAGGTTCTAGTTCCCGTGTCAACAGAACCAAAAATAAATAAATGACATTGAACTAGATGTCCTCGACCAACCTGATGACCCAATTGACATAAACCAGCTAGTTTGGTCACTTCTAACCTTGGTACATCACCTGGGGGAAAATTGAAAGCCCAATGAATTTCTGTCGAGGACTTAAAAGGAAATAGTCATCAAATTTTGTTTAGTATAACTGAAACTAACAACAAAAAACAAATTTTGTATAGTATAACTGAAACTAACAACAAAAAAAAAAATATATATATATATATATATATATCTACGCTCCTGCAAGAAATTCATTATAGAAATTTCAAATCACCATGCCTTTGGTCGTTTTTATATATATTCTCATGCTTTCTATCATAACCAAGTGAAAAAAATTTCGACAAACACTTTCTAATGGGTTTTTTGTCTGACTTCACGAAACATCAATACATTTATATAGCCGAATTTGGAAAATCAAACAGCTTTAGTGTTAAATTTTAACAAATTTGGAGGAAAAGAGTTAACACATGGCTATATTTGTTTGACCGGTAGAACTAGCCTAAATTTGGCACGAATTTCTGAAGGCAATCCAGTAATATCATATCATGTTCCCTAATGAAATTCTAGGAATTATGCGTGTGCAGAATCTCACTTTGGTTCTCCAGTTATCGCCAGCATAATTCTTAGCATGTTCAGAAATAACTGTTGGATAAAATGATATCAGCAATAACAAGTTGAAGCACCAAAACATTGGTGCCACTTGAACGTGCAGCAGCATAATATAAAGTAAGAAAGGCATGCTTCCGCTTTTTTGAGTTAAATTGCAGGAGCTTACACCAAGAATTCCCATCTTTAATATCCAACGTGACTGCTTCTTTAGCATGCTGGATGCTTTCATCAACTAAGTGAGATTGACTCTCCATCGCTATAAACAAAAAAACCAAAGAAAACATTAGCTCTAAACTTCATGATGCCGGAATTAACCAAACCACAATAACGGAAGCAAATATTATTAAGCAAAAGTAATTAGGGTTACAATCAAGACTCAAATAGAAAACAAAAACACAACAAAACAATCAATATCTGGCTAGGGCCAAGTAGTGACATCCGGGGACAATGGTGTCGTAGCTTGGTGGTTGACGGTTGAGTGGGGAAGGGATGAAGGTGGATGGGTAGAAACAGGGAAGGTTAGGGGGTCAACGATTGTAAGCAAGGAGGAGCAGGGTCTTGGGTGTCCAGTGGATGAAGGCGGGTGGAAGGAGGTGGCAGGAAGGTCGTCGGTGGGAAATATGAGTGCAGAGAGATAACAGGTGGGACCGGCGGCTGGGAGCAGGAAGAAAGGAGGTTGAAGGCAGGCCGGCAGCTGGAATCTGGAAGGGAGGAGGATGGCGGCAGGATGGAGGGTAGAAGCTGGACGGTCAAGCATGGTGCAGGAGTGCCTGAAGGAACTAGCTAGAGATTGTCACCAACTCGGAGCAAGATAAAACCGGAGCATCATCTGTCCTCGAATACAGTCCTAACAAGGGAAAAACGCCTGGAGGCAAAAATATAAAATCAGAAAGACCAAAACTAAACCCTAACCCAGAAAGCAACATATTTATAATAAGCAAATAGACGGGGAAAGGGGGAAGGGGCAGCGGTAGTTCCTGTCCAAGAGCTGGCTGGCCGTTCCAGCCTCCCTGGACCAGCTCCACTACTGCTGAAACGCAAGGTATAGCTCATAAGCCCCGTATCACTTCAATATCACAATTGTTCTGCAAGTGCCAGCATCAATATATGTGTAACGCACTGAGATGATATTTTGATATTGTTTCATGAACAATAGGAAGCATAAATTAAGACGAAGTTAACTTTTATTTCAATAGATTTTATGTGTGAGCATCAAAAAACTTATCCTGCATTTCAAATTGAAGTATATATAATCATATCTGAAATTAAAGAGTCAGACCACTGACAAAAATGATGCAAAATGGTTATAAACCATTTAGAGATAAAATTTTCAACACAAAAAAAAACAATAAGCAAAACTCCAAAGAAAAAAGGGAATGCCTAAGCAGTGCTTTAAACTCATGGACTAAAGTTGAGTCAATGATCAAACAACAGCACACGAGCAATTCTCATGGGAGAGCTTCTTTGCAGAACAAAATGAAATGAAACCTGACAAAAATATGACACTTGCGATGCATGTAACCATGTAACCCTTGGTGCTAAAATTCTACAACAACAAGAAAGCACAACCATCACACCATGGAAGCCGATGGGAAACAATTTAGCAAAAGAAGCTTATCATGATTTAAATTTGATTTAAAACTTCACTGATACTGGTGTTGCAGGACCATAGCACTGTTTTTGGGATTGTGCCGTCGCTTCAAAGTATGTTAAACCAATTCCTATGGGTGATATTATAGTGATCATGTGGCATAGGATACCTACTCTTGTGATTATGTTAGGTAGTCATATGGTTCCTATTCATGTGGTATTTCTATTAGGCATGGTCCAAAAAGTGCATTTGAAGTGGACGCCTCCAAGTGTACCTCACCATAAAGTGCCCAAAAACCACCTCGAAGTTTAACGTTTTTAAGATCATTGTGAGATTTTCATTTTTTATTTTTTTATTTTTGTTTAAAATATGCCTCGAGGCACTTGAGGTAACCCCTCAAATTAAAATCTAATAAATTAAAAAAAAATCTTTTGGTAAGTGATATGCCTAATTGAACTAATAGCTTGTTTTAGATTTTCTTGCTAGTAAACAAGCAAGAGAGGGGTTCCATTTCAACAAGTAGTAAGTCAGTGGGGAGCTCATGAGCAATAGGAAGTGATACAATGAGGGAGAGGACTACAATTGCTTGTGATAGGTAAATAGATAAATAAGTTCGAGTGTGTAATAACTGAAAATTTAAATAAATAAATAAAATAATAATAAAATAAACTTTATGTGATCGAAATGCACAATATTCTCTGATTAGTGCAGTGAATGTTGTAAAGTATTTGTGAAGTGGTGAGCTGGTATTTCTGGCCAAATTAGAAGTTCTAAATAAAGATGTGCAAGATTTGAAAAAAATCCAGTTATTGTAAAATTTTATGATGTATTTCATGAAGAATTGTCAGGGCTACCACAAGAACAGAAAGTTGACTTTGGCAATGATGTGTGGCCAAGGTATCTGTAATTTTCAAGTCTCCTTATAGGATGGCTCCGAAAGAATTGTAAGAATTAAAGTGCAGTTGCAAGAAATTATATATAAGGGTTTTATTAGGCCAAATAATTCATCTTGGAGTGCTCCAATTTTATTTGTCATAAAGAAAGGCGGATCTGTAGAAGTGCATTGATTATAGAGAGTTGAATAATGTGAAAATCAAGAACAAATATCATTTGCCCAGGATCGATGATCTATTTGATTAGCTAAATTGTGCTACTGTATTTTCCCGAATTGATCTGAGATCAAAATATCATCAGGTCAGAGTCAAGTAAACAGATATAAGTAAGACTGATTTTGAGACCAGGTATTGTTATTATGAATTCTTAGTTATGTGTTTTGTCTTAACCAATGCTCTCATTGTATTCATGGACCTGATGAATCGAACCTTCAAGCTTTATATGGATTCGTTTGTCATTATTTTCATTGATAATATTCTAATATATTCAAAAACTAATGATAATTATGGAAAGCATCTAAGTATAGTATTGGAGTTACAAGGGCAGATCAACTATATGCAAAGTTGCCAAAATGTGAATTTTGGCTGCGAAATATTGAATTCTTGGGGTATATTATCAGTGACCAAGAAATATTGGTAGATTCGCAGAAGGTGAAAGCAATTGTGGAATAATCTATTCCAAAGAATGTTACAGGGGCACGTAGTTTTCTTGGTTTGGCCAAATATTGCAAAATAGTTGTCAAAGAATTTTCATAGATAGTTGTCATTGTCCAAGCTGATGAGAAAAGATGTTCAATTTGCGTGGACTGCAGAATGTGAACATAGTTTTCAAAAGCTAAAGAAATATTTGACTAATGTTTTAGTGTTAGCTATCCCGTCAGTGTTTTTTGAAAGCTTTCAAAATGAACATAGTTTTCAAAATGATATTTTGGTGTATTCATAAATAAGTTACAATTATGAAAACATATTGATTCTAATTTGAGGCAGGAAATCCTACATGAAGCTCATCATTCAGGCTATACAATTCATCTAGGCAGCACTTAATTGTATAAGGATTTAAAATTGATATTCTGGTGATCAGGTTTGAAGAATAATATTGAATATGTGTCTAAGTGTCAAGTTTGTCAAATAGTAAAGACAACAGCAGAGACATAGCGGATTGCTACAATCATTGTCTATATCTTAATTGTAACGCCCAAATTTCGAGAAAGTAAATTCGGCACAATTCTTAAAGTACCAAAAAAATTTTCATCTCCTGAAATTTGATCGAAATAATTTTATTAAATTCTACGTATGAAATCAATTAATTCCATATAAAGCATCATACATCAAAAATGAAAAGATTGGGAGATATAAAGTGTTGAAGTTATAATTTTAATTAATTTAATCAAAATTTAATTAAATCTTAAATTTTCTCCCTAATCACTCTGTTATTGTAGCCACGGACTAAAGTCTTCTATTTCTTTCGTGTTCGGTCGATTAAGGTAGATGCGGGTTTCTAAATTCTCCTCTTCTCCCGATTTTCCTCTCTCATTCCCCTCCCTATTGCGTTTCGCACGGCAGAAAGCCGCTTAGAGGTTTCCTGTGACTCTCGCACTCAGGCCTCTATAGCAGGGGCGAATGCCATGAGCTAAGTTTCGAATAGCAAGGGGTTGATGGCTAACCGAGTGTCGTAGAGCATGATTTTGGTCTCTGGGGTAGAATCTTAAGGTGTGAATCCATTTCCCACGCAATTCTAAACATTCATTTTCTTTTTCTCACTTCTGAATTGAAGTTTGCCTCGTTTTTCGCGTTTTTCTCTTTTTCGGACGCCGTCGGAGGTGTCAATTGTGTATTGGAGGTGTCATAATCATTTTGAAAGCTTTCAAAAGGGTTTTGGCATGAGTTTAGAGAAGTGGAAGTTAAGTTAAAGGTGCTAAGATGAATATTAGTCGGTTTCATAAGGGCGATTTAAGTCGAACTGTCCTTTTGAGGTATGTTTTGGCAATTAATACTTGTTTTTTAGTTAATGCATGTTTTGAGCCAATTTTATAAAATCCTATGTTGTCTACGAACTCCAGGTTGTCTATATGAGGCGGCGAGCTTAAGGTAAGTATATAGAAACTTGTCGTAGGGCTGCATCATCAAGTCAGGTGAAATAATCATGTATTTATTTAATAAAAATAATATTCTACAGATTTGCATATGATTTCTAGTCCGACCTAGAAGCCTTTAGACTTCTTCCATATTGTAGAAGATTACTTGCTTAAAATGGATGAATGCAAGTTGATATCTTTTGCTATACATATTATGTTATGTTATATTATGACATATTGCAGATATTTAGTTATGATTCATACATGTATATGAAATGTTCATAAATGTATGCTACAAGTACTATGCTTTAAGAAATGTCCTGAGTAATGTATAGGTAAACTATTACATGTAAGGATGTATTCTCGACTCCTGATATTTATACAGGGACGAAACTCAAAGAACCATTTGAATTAGACAGTGGCTGAAAGTTAGGGAACCGTGGGTTCTGGGGGAAGTCCAATATTTATCAAAGCAAAAAGCAGTAGAATTTGAAATTGACGATTCTATATTTTTAAAAATCGAGACAATGAAAGGTATAGCTAGATTTGCTTACGGAAGCATGTTGAGACTAAGGTATATCAGACCTTTTGAAATTATAGAAAGGATCTGTCCCGTTGCTTACAGACTAGTATTGCAAGCTGATATGTCAAATATTCATGATATCTTTCACATTTCAATACTGAGAATATGATATTC